ATCAAGAGGAGCACCGAGGCCCGCTGGATGAAGAAGTTCCAAGAGCTTGAGGTCGGTGCCTATTATCGTCAGGTCGAATTACTCTGCGACTGCTGTTCAGGTTCAGAGTGCTACGTCTTACAATGCCAGGTTGAAGCGAGAGAGAGGTATCGTATGGCGATCGCAGATAAGGACTCATTCAGTACGTGAGGGTGTCGTCCTACAGTGAACCCTTTATAATCGTGTATAAGATTCATGGCGCTCGAGAGCTTGAGGAGGTTATGGACAAGAACCTGGCTGAGTCGAGATTCAACAGGACACGAACGGGTCGACTGAGGAAAAGTAAGGTTCTATGAGGAATCCACCCTAAGAAGCATTGCCACTCACGTTTGGTCAGTGCCTCGCAACGACGGTCGGATGAGAAGTAATCTGCAGACGATGTCAGAGCCGAGCTCATCTGAGGGAGAGGAAGAGGAGGAGAAGGATGTGAAGCCCCCGAGCAGCTGCAGTGCGGTTGATTTTCTGCTAAGGTGTTCTTCAACCGTGCTGACTTCGGTAGCAAATACGGTCGGCTTACGGACTATGTGCAGGCCAGGGCAGTCACTTGGCAGACAACGATGAGGGCTCAAGGAGTAATCACTCGTGTTAAGTTCGGTTGGAACTGGAATGCTATCAGGATGCGCACGAGAGAATTGAGTCGCGGCAGCATGCGGTGAAGAGGATGGACAGTATGGAAGTGCAGTTCTTAAAGGAGCAACAGAAGTAAGTCCTATCGTGGTTGGCTATGTCCCTTCGGCGAGGGTGTTTTCGTAGGTCACTCGAGGTAAAGATGGAGGGCATGAGGTTTGATATCGAACTGAAAGACTACGAGCTGAGGAAGATCAGAGAGGCTTGGATTAACGCCAACGACTCTCGTTTGATTTATAAGAATGCTTACGATTTGGAACTTCGCTCACGAGTAGGAAGTTATCGCTTCCCTATGGGAGGGACGGGCGCCTTGACTCGACAGGCTGGTGGGCGGGGACTCCAAGGCACAGATGAGGAACAAGAGCAGGCAGCGAAAAAGGCAGTGGTGGAAGCCATGCAGGCCGATGAGGAGTTCTCTCTTATAGTCGCTGAGTGGGTCCCTTCCCCTGAGGGTAGCTGATGTGAGTCTATTGTCAGGCGTGCCGTTATGGCGAGGAAGCGTATGATAGAGTTGTCGGATGAGGTGGAGAAAGAGGCCACTCAGCTGGCCAATAAAAGGCACTCTATCAGGAAGATAGGTGACGAGGAGGAGAAGGGCATGTGAGATATCGAACAATAGTCGCGATGTGACAGGAAAGGCGCTCAAGACCGAAGATGATTACGGCTGGGCAGACTTTGACTTTGCTGCTACCCTTGAAGAGGACCAGGCCGTATGCTCACGTGCTGCTAGGTCATGTTGCTCTATGGTTGGTGGACAGGTCATCGCTGGCATTGACGCTGCTCTTGCTGCTGCTACTGGGAGCGAGATCGGTGATGATGATGATAACAAAAGGTGGCACGAGGAGCTCAAGGCTGAGGTGAGTGCATGCCGGGAGGTAGAGGCATTATCCTCAGTCTAGGTGCTTACTGTACTCGAGCAAGACCGGGTAGCCAAATACGGAGAGAAGATCGGGGTAAGGCAGTCTCAGGCGGGCCTTGGAATTTTCTGTACTCTGGCAGAGGCTAGCCTTCACAGCATCCTCCTCCTCGTCTTCGTCCTCGGTCTCCTCAAGTGACTCATCCTCGGATGAAGAGGAGGACCCTTACGACCGAGCCATGGCACATACGTCTAAACGTGATGCCCCATTGGTAGAGACCTTTCTAGGAAGGGTTTGGTCAGTGCTGGTCGTAGGTCACGGACGCCGCAGTGAGAAGAGTCACCAAGCTAATGCGAGGACTCAAGTCTGGACCGAAGCATGCATTCTGGTGAGAACTATTTGGGAGTAGAGTCGTCTCCAAAGATGATGATCAGGGAGGACGCAGGAGCTCGAGAGCAACAGAGGAAGTCTGTTGATGAGGGAAAGCGTCGTGGGAGCGGTGACCAGCGGCGGGACTCTAAGATGCTGATGGAGTTCGAGAGGCTACAGCAAGAGGCCTTAAGAGGGTAAACACTCATCCTAGCTGTCGGCCAGCACTGGCACTCATCAGGGACGACTCCAGCGAAGGTTCGGATAGTCTCCGAAGACCGCCACTCATTACGGCCACGACCTCCATGCCCTCGAGGGAAAAGTGGGGGACGACTGAGCAATTCAAGGAGCCCAGGATTGAACAAGAATGGTGGGTATCATTATGGACTGCTGTTGAAAATCCTTGGTAACCGTGCACTTTCCTGGAGGGATTCGGCGTATTAGCATAACAGCAATCAAGCAATAGTTCTCGATAAGATGTGAACGGAGATAGTCAGAGCTGAGTGCACAGGAGCATCATCACCACAACTGTGCATCTGGGTGTGTAGGCCACGACCAGTCCAGATGGGAACCGGAGCGGCGATATCAGTAGAGTCCAAAGGCACAGAGGAGTGGGAGGAGAGAATGGAGAAGATGGTTCGCCAAATAGACGAGCCTGACGATGAAATAGAGTGGGCATCAGCTCGTTGACCATCCAGTAGGATATGTCCTATCGTAGGCCACGAACAGAAGGCAAGGGAGAGCCGTTGAAGAAGGGACGAGGGAGGAGGCAGCCGGCATCTGGACATGCCTCACATGGCCAATCGTCTCTCCCTGTTACATCGAGAAAGACCTCTTTCCAAAAGTAGTGAAGTCCTCATTTGTTAAGTGAGTGGTATGATGCTATTCAGGATCCTACCTGACGAGGATCTGGAAGGCCAAGGTCAACACCGGAGTTACCGGAATCAAAGGGGAGGAGGTAGCGGTGGATCATTCTGAAGGGTCCTCCTGGTCTCCTCTGGCTTGCCGCGTCTAGATGTGTTAGTTCGAGCTGCGCTCAGGCCCGTACCAGCATTGACTCACGTACGAAGAAATGTGAAGATAGCAGGCACAGGCTCAAGTGGTGAAGAGGAAGAGGACCGCACTCAATCGTCTCTGCGGCCACAACCACCTCCAGTGAGGGGATCAGGAGGTACAGGGCCTGCTCAGTCGATCTCAGCAGCAGGTGAGCTCAAGGAAAGTTGATTCGTGATGGGGGTATCTCATTGTGATCAGAACCAGCTGAAGGGAGACTTTTGAGTACCTCTTCGAAGCAAAAAGGAGTATCACTGCCGAGTCGCGGAGCTCAGGAGGACCAGGCACGAGTGAGAAGACGACTGTCGTTATGGATTCACCTGAGATTGGGCGATTAGGCACACGTTGATAGTCATAGGATGGAGAGGAGGCGTGAAATTGAAGGGAGTCCAGAGACCCATAGAAGTGTACCGGCGCCGAACTCCTCTACTCGCCCTATGCCAGCACCCGAGGAGGTCCCGGCATCGCAACACAAGGAACAGGCAGGGGTCCGAGCTGAGGAGGCTGATGAGGATGCCGGGGGTAGATCGAGGAGTAGAGGGAATTGGCGAACAAGGAGGTTCGTCCAAGCTGTAGGAGCTGCGGTACTCCGTTGTTGACTTATTATCATTGATATTTCCAGCAGGCCGAGAGTGGATCAGCTGTGGGCGAGGTTACTGATAGGCCGGCTCCTGATCGTGATGAGAAGCGAATAGTCAATCGCCCTCAAGCAGGGATGCCGTCTGTGCCGGTGGGTGCTGCTACAACGAGCCACTCATTAAGTATGGCCATTGCCAGGATGCTGTTGATGCCGATGTGGGAATCTCGGCTGGAGACAGTCGTAGTCCTCAGACACAAGAGGGAGGAGCTCGCTCTGATGGCAAGGTGAGTCGCATACGATTATAGGAGAGCTAATCCATAGTAGAAAGCTGTGCATCTGATACGTGGTTGAGGTGTGGCGAATCATCGAGCTTTGTGGAGTAACGTTGCCCAGGGTCTGATAAGAGTGTAATGACTTTTACATTGGAAACTGGCTGAAGAATGTTGGAAGTTCAAGTGACTGATTTTCCAGCATACCTGTTGGAGCTCACTCTGGGAGGGCCATCATGGCTTTAGGCCCCGAGGGAACCACACATGAGGAAGTCGGAGGTGGGTAGAAGACAGAGGAATACAGCATATATGGAGAGCTTGCTATTGCCATCGAGAATGCCCGGGGCACAGTAAGTCCTCTTGTGACTGTCAGCCATTCCCCACACTACCATCTCCAGGCTCAGTCAATCCGGAGACGATCCATCGTACACTAGTCAGTCCACGACCGCACGACAGGGGCAACAACACGAGTTGGCCTCCTATCTTCGTACGGGTTCTGGACGGGTGGGCAGTCCTGGTGGCGCAGAGATCGCCAATCAGGATGAACATCAGCAACAAGGGGGCTGGGCTGATCAAGTGAGCTCGCCATTCCTACATGAGCAGATTCGGTCGTTTAGATGCGCGCTGATGCTATCGCTAGGACTAAGAAAGCTACCACGATTTTAGCTCAACAGCAGTCGACTTCACTGAGGTAGGACCCTGGCTTGCCTTGTGAGGATTGGAGGTATATTGTCAGCGCTGCTCATGACCCTGCTGCAATCGATGTCCCCACTATGAAGGCAAGATTCCAATCGATGACCAGCAGAGCCTCTGTTAATCCAGCAGGGAAGGAGAAAAGGAAAAGCGACCATAAACGCCGTTCACAGACCCAATCCGTCGAACAGATCGATGCAGCGAGCCAAACTGAGGTTCCTTATATGGCTATGACCGGGGCCCCTGATACGGCGATGACCTTAGCTGCTGATACAATCATGGCCGGGGCTCCTCATACGATCATGGCCGGAGATACTCATACGACCATGGCCGGGGCTCCTCATACGACCATGGATGGGGCTACTCATACGACCATGGCCGGGGCTCCTCATACGACCATGGCCGGGGCCCTTACAGGACCATGGATGAGGACGCTTCCACGAGCATGCCGATCACCACAATGGAAGCTGCTACGGTCATGGCTCGGCTCCCCATGCGACCGTGGTTACCACGACGGAAGCTGCTGCGGCTACGGCCCAAGCGGGCCATGAAGGAGCGCATCATTTGCCAGGCGAACATAGCGAGGCATCAGAGGATTCTCATACTGCAGGTGGGATGAGGGCGCACCTGGCTGGTGAGGATGGACTCAGGTCGTGAAGATAAACACACACAAGTACGGCACGAATCGACCTCTCGAGAGGCGCAGACCGTTGGCAGTTTCCGCTCTACTCAATGCCTCGCTTCACTTCAAGTCATAGTTCACACTTCATTGAATAATATTCACACTGAGGTATTCTTCAGGTTGATGTTGCTCAGTTGCAGGCCAAGGCGGCTGCTGCTGCCGCGGTGATGGCGGGCCGGACCGAATCGGACTCTGGCAGCTCTACAGGCACAGCTGATGGAGGAGATATGGGAGACTTCGCGGAAGAGCTCATCAATTGGTTGAAGTTCAACCTTCTACAGTATCAACATGCCCAGCTTATTCATATGAATGTCGGCATAATGTTGTTGCTCGCCTTTCATCCTGTTTGAATCTCAGGATTCTGCTTGGGATCTCTCGCCGCTACCATCTGACTGGGGCTTAGATGGCAGACGCCTCGTGAATGACTTTGTGAATTTCCTCAATGGAATCCTCAGTAAAGTCCTCCCCTTTCTCCTTCTAACAGCTCCTCTGTTCCTTCAGGCGTCAAGTGGCCGGGTAGGCGAGAGCAGCAATTGGGCATCCGAACAGCGTATCGGCACTCAGCTGAAGAAATCGCTGAAGTAGCCCGGAAAATAATGTGGGTGACTGTTCTCGGTCAACTAAGCTGAACTCACACCTCTAGATTGTACGGCTCTGGTCGCCTCACGAGGGATATACTGGTGCAGCACGCCCTCGGACTGAAGTTTTCGGATAAATCCACGCTGTCCTCTTTCAAGCATACCAGACCGCTACAAGAGCATTACGTTCGCGGTGTCATCGAGCCTCTGGTGTTGGGCGTTGGGGTCTTGGATGATTTACACCAACATGTACTCACCTACAGCACTTCGCCACCGTCTACGACAGAACAAGAAAGCCCAGATTTGACCGACGCCCTGGGCGTCCTGGGTGGCGGTTATAAGATGAATCTCAAGGGCCCTAAGAGAAGTGACGAATCTACTGCTGAGGACCTTACAATGACAGACTTCGGTGGCGACATTGACTCAGCGAGGGAGTGTGCTGAACCAGCCGATAGTGGTACTTTGCTGACGGTACGATCAGCACCCTAGGGCTAAGTTGTGGAGATCTCATGTAACAGGTGTGCATATAGTAAGTTGTACTTGAGCACCTATGTTGAGTGATAACAGTTCACAAATGGTACATCGTTCGAGCTAGTATAACCACAGTTCGTCTCAATGTTGATTCCACCACAGTCGGACTTGATAGCGTCCATCGAGCATGACTACCTCGAAACCTTGGACACTTATAGTAAGTCGAAAGAACTCGTAGATCACCTCAAACTAGCCTTACCCTCTGGTTAATTTCGTCAGTAAATTTCAGATGGAAACTATCTAGGAATAAGTGTCGCCTTGAGCCAAATTATGTACCATGTCCCACCTGAATCGCTGGAAGCATCCTCGTTCAGCCGTTTTTATCCCATGACATTTCATTGAAGCTTCCACATCGCATCATTCTACCACCCCACCCTAAGCGAATAACTATTCAAAACAACACCGATGATTCTCAGAAATATTCTACGATACAATGTATCGCCTTTCAAGTTCGGATCCAGAAAAAGAATGGATCCTGATGAATGGTCCTATGTCGAAACACCGCTTGATCGTAGCCCAGAGTTCTCTGGAATCAGAACGATGAATCAACAATTGCCTTATCGAGAACCCAAATTGTACTTCTTGGGTTGGAGGAAGTAGTCGATGACATTTCTAACGACGACTTCGAGCTTCTCCTGAGCCTTCTCCATATTCTCCTTATCGTTAGCCTCACAGTAGTACTTCACCTTGGGTTCAGTACCAGATCCACGGATAGTAACAGTAGCTTGATCATCGAAGTAGAGAGTAATCATCTGAGCATCCGGTGTCATAGGTAATGTAGACTTCTTATCCTTCCTCCTTGAATCATAGCCAAGAGTAACATCACGAACATCAGCTATCTTAGATGACCCGAGCTCAGCCTTGTAGTTACCCTCATTACGGAACTCATCAAACATCTGTTTCATAACCTTAGGATCATCACAGATGAAGTAACCGTTGTGTTGGGCGAAGAAACCGACCATCTTACGGAGTTCATTTAGTCGTTCAAGAAGAGTGATACCTTTCTCTTTACGCCAATAGTTAGCCATCTCACACCAGACACTGCAAGCACTGATACCATCCTTATCAGGGACACTCATCGTGAGGGCACTTCCTAGTGCCTCCTCATAAGCCGTACAGTGTACCAAATTAGAGTGCTCAGCGGACATCTCCAATGACTTGTTAGCCATCCATTTGAAACCTGTTAGAGTATCCTCATACACTCCACCGTAGTAATCAGATAACGCCTTCAGCATCTTAGACGATACTGTGGAATTGATGACCAGACAATTCTTCGGGTCGACACCACGACGATGAGCCATCAACAGTTGCCAATCTCCAAAGATGGTACCAAGCTCATCACCAGTGAATTGATGCCATGAACCGTCCTTCTGCTTCTCGCAAGAAGTAAAACGATCAGCATCGGGATCATTTGCCAATACATAATCGGCATCCTCATCAATTGCTTGTTGCTTGCTCATGTCGAGTGCACCCTTCTCTTCGGGGTTGGGGAAGGCGACAGTGGAGAACTCAGGATCAGGGTGAGCCTGCGCTTCCACGATCGACACACACTTCTTGGGGAAGCCAAACTTGTCCATCAAACCGGTAGCGAATGGAAGACCAACACCTTGCATAGCCGTGTAGACGAACTGTAAGTTGCAGTCCTTGTTGAGGTCAGGGAATCGGCACAGCTCGTGATACATCTGATCGATGTAGGTGTACAAGGCATCATTGTAAGGATCGATGGTCTTGGACTTGTCCTTTAATAAACAGGTATCCAAATCCAACAACTCCAAAGCATCTTTCCATGGGACCAAAT